CCTAACAATGGTTAGTAATTATCCTCTACAAGATGTCACTATAATAGATGCATTCAAATGAAATTAGGGACGAATTAAGAAAGGGACGAATTGGGATCGGGGACGAATTGAGAAAGGGACGAGTTAGGACTCAATTAGAGTGGGACGAATTTGAGATGGGACGAATAAGGGACGAATCGGGGAGCGACCGGTTAAATCAACTGGAACAATAATCTAAATAAATTGTTAAGTAATAAAAAAAAAAAGAAAATTGAATCAATTTAAATTTTGTTAAAATAACTAACATTTGTTAATTGAAAATTTTTTCCAGCTAGTATATCATCAATTCCACCTGAACCAATACTATTAGCAACAAATACGCGCAAGATTTTACTTAAATATATTGCACGTTTTTGTCCAAAATGATCATATGATATATATTTTGATCGTTTAATAACTGATGAATCAGACTATTCTATTCATTTTATTGAATACTTACAGAATAAGAAAAAATATTCTTTATATTCACTTGTACTAAAAATAAAAATTATTGAAATTATTTCATATTTCAAAATAAAATAAGTAATTTCTTATCTTCAACTGTTAAAATACACATTTAGTACTTCATTTGAATATTAATTTTTTCATCTTCATTCGACTTAATCAGCTATAAAGTGGAAGCAAAAAGGCATTTTGTTTTTAGCTCTTCATTGACATTTTTGGATAGTTTGTCCTTTGGAAAATCAATATTCTGCAATTGATCAGAAACTATTTGCAAATAAGATCATTGGAAAGTGCAAACGTTTTTGAGCAGAATCAGATGTACTCGAACTTTCCGTTCATCTAATTATAGTGAATCTACAGGAGCCTCGAAGAGGAAAAATACAGCAGATTTTTGAAAAAAAAAATAATTGAAAAACATGCTGCGATACATTTCAGAAATTAACTACAATTTGATAAAGAAAAGTCGTAAAACGGTCACGAATATTTCAATTAGTCTAAAAATGTTTGCACTTTCAACTGTGCTAATTAACAAAAGGTTTCTGATCGATTTTCCAATTCTTGAAAAATTTTAATGAAAACATAGAAGATATCGAAGTATCTTTCACAGACTTCAATCTTTTTTTTTCTGATTTTTGCAAGCTATTGCCATTAGGAAAATATCTCAAATAATTTACTCAAAATGAAGTTGAATCATTTTGTATACTTATAAACATACTCATGTGATTCAAATCAGACAAAAAAACCATCGGTAGATCGTTCGGTATAATATGCATTATACCGGCAGTGAAACGGTTGGCTATTCTCTGATTGGTGATTTACTGCCAGTTCATATGAGTGTTGCGGTAGCACGAACAAACATCCGACATGGGTACAATTCGAATTGATCCATGACTGGAAGAAAACAAAAATATAAATTCATTTCTATATAAGACTTACAAGAGAACATACCCAACTGTCGAACACCGTTCGGCTTCATATTATGGGCACGACTAGGTCTCGTACTGAGAGCAAGGCATTTTCGGAAAATCTAAAACAAAAAGTTTCGATGTAAAATTTTACGCATAGGCACGCTTTATAGTCATTAGATAGTCGTGAACGTTTCATCGAAATTTTCAGAACTATCAAACATGCCTATAGGCCAAATTCTTTGTTTTGAATTTTTCAGACATACCTTGCTCTCAGTAAGACTTTCATTACAACAACCATAATTCTTTATGAGTCGACTATGGATTCGAATGTTTTTAAACTGGTCTCAATCTTACTGAGATCTACCCCGACAGTTGAGTATGTTTCCTCGTTAGCCAATGAATCGGAACAGTTTATGTTTCTTTCACTGGAATCAATCTAAGTTTGAGTGAAGAATGAATATTTCATATCATATTCTAAATAAAAAAAAAACATCCAATATATTTTGTTTGCACTAATAACATACTCTATGCAATTAGTTGTCTTTTTCAGACTATTCGATATTTGTAAATGTTATTTGAACTTTGTGATTTGATAATCCTGTCTTTAGATTTTATTTCATTATGAAAACTTTTCTCATTTGATTTGAAATAAAAATAATATCTATTTGATAAATTTCGATCTGAATTTTTCGTTGAATATTGCTACTGTTTATCAATTAATCGTTTTAATATTTCTTATAATTCTTTTTTCTTCCATAATATTTTTTCTATATGGATTTTTTTCCATTTGAATAGTCAATTTTTTTAAATTATAATTTCGTTTAACTAAATCATATACATGACATGTTTTGTTTCCAAACTGATATGGCATTGAAAACATTTTTTTTTCTTTCTTTTGTGTCTAAAATATTTTATTACATTTCTATCTATATATATATTTAAGAACCATAAATACAAAACATTTGATTGCAAAAAAAAACAAAAGTATTCAAGATTATAATAATAAACTAAAACATCAATCTGGATACAAGTGAAAAAAAACACCTGAATATAAAAGAAAACTAGATGTTAGTAGAGTAAAAAAAATCAGATCTAGATGTTGCAGTAGAAATTGAAATTTCATTTTCTACTAACCAAAGAATACAACAAATCACTGTTTTTCGAAATAGAAAGGAAAAAAGTTTTTTTTAAAGTTAACATTTTATTTTTGTTAATCCTGAAGTGCAGCTGCAGCAACATTGTTTTTCATTAATGCGCTATGAGTAGCAGAAGAAGCTGATAATGCATTATGACGATTACCGGAAGATAATTGTTGATCTGGATTAACATTTGTAGATGTTGTACTACTTACATCAGCTCCACAAATTTTTGATGCTTTTTCACTAACAGTTAAATGTTGTTGTGATGTAACAAGTGTATCATATAAGGCTTTTCTCCATTCAATCCATCAGACTTCATCCTATACGGAGATGGATGCAATTCTTCCAAACAAATCAAAAAAATACATTCATGCTAATTTAAATATAATATTCAACACATCAATATATAACAAAAGCACAAGATGATCAGATATATATAGATAACATTTTTTTATAATATCCATACAAATACACACAAATAAATATGACTGTGGATAAATAAGATGAGTACGTATGTGAGAACAGAAAGAAGAAATTAAGTCTTATCTGTGGTGAAAGCATTAAACATGGTTCATCACCACTTTTTAAATGTATTGTTATCGTATTTTTTTGTCGTTTACATTCTTTTGAATGAATATGTTCAATTCTTTCTATTTTTATTGAAAAGAAAAATATTTTTTTTTATTAGTCTTCTTTAAAATGGTTTAGAAATTTTAACAGTGCGTTTTTAGTACGAAATAATTTTATGCAAATAACATAACTGTCCTGAACGATTACCTAATTATTATCATTGATCTGAAAAGAAAAATATTGATCTTTAAGATATACATCAAATAATTACAAACAAAATTTCATTCTTCAAAAAAAAACTCTTTTTTTTCTTAACAATAATATGATATTTAAATTGTTGAATTTACATTCAGTCTTTTGACGTCAACTTCAAAGGATATATCAATAGACGACTATTTCTGTTTATGAAACGTGCTTTAGTATCATTCAGTCATATGAAAAAAGTTGTTGCTTCACTTCTGAAACACAATAACATTAACTAGGAACTATTTGACAAGCACGCCATCACATTTTTTGAACCATTGTCGTGATTCATTTTTATCAAAGGTGATGTTTCTGAGACCTCTCTCCCTGAAAATGTTCGAGATTTTTTAGAA